GAGCTGCATGCGAAGGCGCAGCGCAAGCGCATCGCGGCAGGGAGTGGTTCGGACGCTTCCGACGACGAGGAAAAAGGGCAGCCCGAGAGACCCAATCGAGGCCCGCGAAGCCGCAGTCGCAGCCCTGCAGCTCAGAACGGCGCTGGCAAGCGCACCAAGCAAAGCGCTGCCGATGGCCGGACAAGTTCAGCAGATCTCTGGGAGGCGGCCAAAGACATCCGTGCAAAGTTGAGCAAGATGGATGATACTGGCAAGAAGGAGGCCGGGCGTGGGCCCCTTGCTGGACAGCCGCTGTTCTTCAAGGGCAACAAGGCCAAAATCAAGGAAGAAGAGGAGGTGAAGCTCGAGCCCGGTGAGGAAAAGTCCCATGTCAAGACGCGCGACAACAAGGACTTGCAGTACCATAACATCACGGAGGAGGTGATGACGAAGAACGAGATTGAAGAGAAGATCAAAGCCGAAGCTGAGATCGATGAGTACGAGGAAGGCAAGTTGGACCGCGACTGGTACATGGCCGAAGAGGGCGGGGCTGCCCAGGGCATGGACGAGATGGATCCGGTCCAGGAGGCCGAGAAGGAAGAGAAGAAGAAGCGCCAACTGGCCTCGGTCGCCCGAGTCAACATCAGGCAGCAACAGAAGAACGAGGCCAACGAAATGTGGGAGCTGAACCGGCTGGGAGCCATGGGCTTGGCGGAGCGGAAGGAGGTGAACCTGGATTTCTCGAAGGAGGACGAAGAGAAGCGCGTCGCCGTCGTGACCCGGGACACGACGCCACCCTTCCTGGATGGCCGCAAGGTCTTCACGACGCAGACGGAAGCTGTGAGTGCTGTCAAAGATCCGACCTCCGACATGGCGGTCTTCTGCAAGCAGGGCTCCAAGGTGGTGCGACAAGTCCGTGAGGAGCAGGACCAGAGCAAGTTCCGCAAAAGGTTCTGGGAGCTCGCTGGCTCCAACATGGGCAACGTGATGGGTGTCAAGAAGAAGACGGACACCGAGAAGCAGCAGGACGACGTGTCGGACGACGAGTTTGACCCCAAGGCCAGCAACCAGTACCTTGGGGATACTGGGGAATGATTGTTGATTTTTGGTTATAATTCCGAAAGAACAGCTAGAATTCGGATTTTTGCTTGAGCTCCAAGTTCAGTATAGGTACGGCCAGGCGCTGAAGAACCAGAAGACAGAGGCCCAGTCTGAGTTCGCGAAGACCCGGTCGATTCAGGAGCAGTGACTCGGCTGGCTCTTGGGAGATTCTTTGACATTTTCTTTCATATTTGGGTGTTAGTTTAGGGTTTAGGGTTTAGGGTTTCGGGTTTAGGGTTTAGGGTTTGGGGTTTGGGGTTTAGGGTTTGGGGTTTAGGGTTCTTCTTGTTCAGAGGGGCTTAAAAACGCCAACCCAGGAGACGGAGCCTTCCTGTCTTCAAGGTCCGCGAGGAGCTCGTCGACCTCCTGCGCGAGCACAACGTCCTGGTCTGCGTGGGGGAGACCGGCTCTGGCAGCTTTGTCCTCGTGGGAAAACATTGATTAGTTTCGGGTTTAGGGTTTAGGGTTTCGGGTGTAGGGTTTAGGGTTTTATTACATTCTCAAGGGGACTTAAACACAATAAGGAATACAAGTCTTTAAGTTTTTGTGAATGCTATCCCCAGCTATGAGCTAGGAAAGACCACGCAGCTGACGCAGTACCTCCACGAGGCCCAGTCGGTCAGCAGATGATTTTCGGGTTCGGTCGAAGGGTCGGAGTGATTGCTAGTATTCCCTTGTGGTACCTTTTTTAAAGTAGACTATACTGACCCCCAAACTCCTATTCTAGTATTCCCTTATGGTACCTTCATAAGTAGACATAAACGACACCGAAACTCCTATTCTCATTAGTGAGGCCCCTATATAAGTCGGCCAACGGAGTCAGCAGATTGGTTTAGGGTTCGGCCCAGGCCGCGAGGCACAACGGGCTAGGGGCTCAGGAAGAACCTTCCCTAAACCTTAAACCCTCAACCCTGAAGTCGAAACCCTGAACCCTAAACCCTCTGAAGTTGATGGTCTCTAAGGGGGGACATGACTTAGTGGAAAGGATGACACTTGCCATAGTCCCTGCAGAGTGTCGGGTGGCAAAAACAACCCTATACCTTAAATTAAACCCTATACCCTAAACTGCATGAAGGCCGGGTACTCGGTGAATGGCCAGATTGGATGCACGCAGCCTCGCCGCGTGGCCGCGGTGTCTGTGGCAAAGCGCGTGGCCGATGAGATGGCCTGCGAGTTGGGCACAAAGGCTGGGTTTAGGGTTCAGGGTTTAGCGTTTCGCGTTTCGGGTTTAGGCGGGTTGAGGGTTTAGGGTTCAGCGTGTGGCTGGGCTAGGCTACCCTTATGTTAAACCCTAGTTGTGCCAACGTTTATTCCTAGGGGTACTCTTGGGGCCCTCGAAGGTGGGCTACTCCATTCGATTCGAGGATTGCACCAGCGAGTCCACCATCATCAAGTACATGACGGATGGTGTGCTTCTGCGAGAAACCTTGTTCGAGCCGGACTTGGACAGATACTGCGCGGTCATCATGGACGAGGCCCATGAACGCTCCCTCAACACCGACGTCCTCTTCGGAGTGTTGCGGTCAGTAGTTGGCCGGCGACACGACTTCAAGCTCATCATCACCTCAGCCACCATGGACGCTGACAAGTTTGCGGCGTTTTTCGGCAACGTGCCGGTCTTCAACATTCCAGGCCGAACCTTCCCCGTGGATACGTTCTACGCGAGGACGACGGCCCAGGACTATGTGGATGCCGCAGTGCAGCAGGCGATCGCAATCCACGTTGGCCAGGACCAGGGGGATGTCCTGATCTTCATGACCGGCCAGGAGGACATCGAGGCCACCTGCGTGTTGCTTGCCGACCGAATCTCCCAGGTGGGGGAGGACGTGCCGGCCGTGTCCATCCTTCCCATCTACTCGCAGCTTCCCTCCGACCTGCAGGCCAAGATCTTCGAGAGCAGCGACAGGCGCAAGATCATTGTGGCCACAAACATTGCAGAGACTTCCCTTACCGTCGATGGCATCAAGTACGTGATCGATACCGGCTACTGCAAGCTGAAGATCTACAATCCAAAGATGGGTATGGACAGCTTGCAAGTGACGCCCATCTCACAGGCAAATGCCAACCAACGCCGGGGGCGTGCGGGGCGCACTGGCCCCGGCGCGTGTTGGCGCTTGTACACCGAGAGCGCCTTCGTCTCGGAGATGCTGCAGATGACCATCCCGGAGATCCAGCGTACGAACCTTGCCAACGTCGTGCTGCTGCTTGGGGGCAACCAGTGGTACCCTTTACCCTTTTCTTTTTTTTGGTTCTGGGTCTCTGGGTTCCCTTGTAAGCTCACCAACCCAAACAAAGGCTGCCCTTATTATGATGTCTTTGCTGGGCTAGCAAGGCTGCTGAAGTCCATGGGCATCAAAGACTTGCTGTCCTTCGGCTTCATGGACCCTCCACCACAGGACACCATCTTGAACTCCTTGTTCCAACTCTGGATGCTGGGCGCCCTGGACAACCTGGGTGACATCACCACCCTGGGAAACTTAGCGGCTGAATGAGAACACTTTATACCATATACACTTTTTGGGATACTCTAATCCCCTGTAGAATGATAGGACTGAAAGGTGTGCACTTTTTTTGGCGGGGCTTATATGAACTCAGCAACTCAGGAAACAAGATGGCCCAGTTCCCCCTGGATCCTCCCCTGTCCAAGATGTTGATCGTGGGTGAGGAGTTGGGCTGTAGCGAGGAGATCATGACGGTGGTGTCCATGCTCCTCGGTCGCCCCGTGGTGCCCTTTTCCCCCCCTTTTTTTGCTTGAAGGATCCCTAAAAAAGTAACCCACCATCACTAACCCAAAAGAGGGTGCCCTTATGATAACATTTTTTTGGGGTTCAAGGATCCCTGATATAAAGTATATTATAATGAACCCAAAAATGAGGGTGCCCTGATTACAAGGTTTGGTTGCTGGTGCTACCAAGGCTCTCTGTGCCATCGATCTTCTTCCGGCCCAAGGATCGAGCCGATGAGAGCGATGCGGCGAGGGAGAAGTTCTTCGTGCCGGAGAGCGACCACCTGACCTTCCTGAACGTGTACCAGCAGTGGGCCCACAACGGGTACAGCGCGCGGTGGTGCGGTGACCACTTCGTGCACCAGAAGTCGCTGAAGAAAGTGCGGGAAGTGAGGGGGCAGCTTGAAGAGATCATGCAGCAGCAGAGGCTGCAGCTGAACTCCATCGGCACAGATTGGGATGTTGTTCGCAAAGCCATTTGCGCGGGCTACTTCCACAACGCGAGCAAGTTGCGAGGCATTGGCGAGTACGTCAATCTCAGGTCACGCATCCCAGCGAATTTGCATCCGACAAGCTCACTGTACGGCCTGGGCTACACTCCGGACTACGTCGTTTATCATGAGGTCATGTACACCGTGAAGGAGTACATGCAGACCGTCACAGCAGTAGATCCCTACTGGCTTGCAGAGCTTGGCCCGATGTTCTTCTCCGTCAAGGAGTCCAGCTCGGACTTCCATGCGAAGCAGCGCCAGGAGCAAGAAGAGCGAAGACAGATGGAGTACCAACAGAAGCTTCGGGACGACCTGGAACGCCAGGCAAAGCAAGAGGAGGCTGAAGCGCTCGTCCGAAGCGGTGGTCAGGTGGTGGAGGTGGGCAAGAAGCGCGCCCCACGTGACAACCTCCGGAAGCTCAAAAGCAGTGAGGGCATGGAGCCGGAGGAGAACAAGAAAGGCCCGAAAGGCAAAACTTCCAAGCCTTCGGGGCCTTCTGCCGTGGGAAATGACTCAGAGTCTGACAGTGCCGGAGCAAAGCGCCGTCGGGCGGCAGGGCGCAAGCCACGAGTGCGCTCAGCGTGGGCTGCCGCTGGCTGAGGCGTCCACGTGAGCTCTTCGAGGGGCAGCAGCGTGCCGCACCACTGGTTCCTGGAGAGGCAGTGTGCTGGATAAACAGATGTACTGAGCCTGTGTAGTTATCATTGCCATCCCTCTTCAATCCGCCACTACCCCACATACCATATGACCAACGAGGCCCCTACATACTGTGTGAATGTGTTGTTCTGCTTCGGTGTGGTGCCGCTGCGACCCGCACCATCCTGAAACTGGTGATGTCCCGCACTTGCTTCTCCTCGTATCAGCCGTGTCTCACCCGGAAAGCAGCAAATGCTCAGGGAGTCCTTCCAGTAAAGAATATGAAAGATGGGTCAACATCCCATTGCCACAAACAGTCCGCTGAACTAGGCTACACCAATAGACTACCGCAACAAGCCCAAGTCGTAGCGAAGAAGGGCAGCTTTTGGAAGGCTCGAGCTGCTGCTTTGCGCGCAAAATTAAGGCCCTCGCGGAGTTTGAGCTCGGCGGGTGGCGCAAAAGCACATGGTGGTCTGTCTTAGGGGGCCTTTTGGGCATGAGCGCGGGTCACGCCAGTGTGAGCACTTGGCCCAGGCAGCTGCAGGCTAGAGCACCCTAATGGGTTTAGGGTTTAGGGTTTAGGGTTTAGGGTTTAGGGTTTAGGACTGGAGCCCTGAAGCAAAAAGGGTTTTGGGTTTAGGGCCCCTCTGCTTGGCCAGGTTCCGGTGGTCCGCCTGTTCGGCGTCTCCCGACAGGGTGCGAGCGCCCGGGTGCCCAGGACAAGAGGGCTTCGGCGGAAGCACCTCGAACCCGAACAATGCGACAGTTCACTTAAATGAATTGCAAGCGCCCTAGTTGGGCTCCTAGTTGGTCTCCCTCCCCAAGCCAACCTCCAACGCAAAAATGCCTTCCTGAGCCCTGCCGGCTTTCGGCCCAGGTTTGTGTGCATGTGCATGGCTCCTGGCCCTTTTTTTATGCGCTGGCCCCAGCTTCGGCAGGCTTCCGCCTTTCTTTTTCATGACTCGAGGTGTTTGGTGTTTGCCGTTTGTAGTAGCTGCTTTTTTGCAGAGCACTGCTACTGTTGGTGTTGCTATTTTTTGGTGGCAAAAACCGAGGTAGAGCTTTCCGAGGAGGCGGCCGCATGCTTGGACAAGTCCCATGCGGGTGGGTTGAGAGCATGATCCTTCAGAGACATTACATCATTGCGTGCTGCGTCATGCCGTCGCGCTGAGGCTACAGCGCTTTCCTCCGCGCATTGCAGTGGTGAATCCCGAGGTGCACACAGGGCATTTGGATGAGGATAAACACTAAACCCTAAACTTTGGAGGATAGAGCTGCAGGGCCATGTGCTTCATCGATGAGATCCAAAAAGCGGTGGGAGGGATCCGCAAGCCGGGCTCCAGTTGCGATGTGGAACTGGCAGGCCCATGTACAGAAGCTGCCTCAACCACGGACCAGGCCCCGTGCACTGATCTGCCCTTGTTTCTGAACCCTGAACCCTGAACCCTAAACCCTAAACCCTAAACATGATGATGTTACAGAGGCCTGGCCTGATGCGGTGAAACTGAAGGAGAGTCAGCGAGTCGTTGAAACGGATGTCGATGTATCACCAGATGAGACCTTCCCACCGAAGCCTTGCCTGCCTTGAGCGTGAGAGTCGAAACCCTAAACCCTAAACCCTAAACCCTAAACCCTAAACCCTAAACCCTAAACCCCAAACCCCAAACCCCAAACCCTACGCCCTAAACCTTGAAAGCCGAAAAACCGCCATTGTTGAGCCCATGGGCATCCTTTCAGCCAATTACGGCACAATCCTACCTTGACTTGCCAGTTCTTAGAAATTAGGTCAGGTATCCCGCATCCCCTACAGAACCCTTCATGGGACTGTACAGGGTACCGACTTCCCGAGTTCCTTACTAAGAATCACGAAGTAGAATTCAGAGGGAGGTGCATCGGCCATAGACTTGCTGGGGTCCGTCGTGGCTATGTATGCCAGGAATATACCGCCTTCATTCGCGCAAGATGGGTAAACTGCAGCTCAAACCCCTAGTAGTGCCCGACGTGTCGCTGCCAGATTGCCGCACCCGCCGAGCTTGCTGCAGCCATCGAAGATGCTGCAAAAAAGCTGGGGCGCACACAGGCGCGGAACTCCTCTGAGACATTGCCGTGGGAGTGCCTGGACTTCGAAGCCTGGCGGTTCCGGAGGATTGTGTGCTCTGTGAGCTTCTCTGTGTGACTGTAACTTTAGATCCTTACCCTTTTTGGGTTCATTGGGTTTCTTAATAAGGCAGCTAAAAGTTTAATTTATAGCTACCCTCCTGAGTGCAGCCAAGTCTGTGACCAAGAGTGTTTATCCGATGCAAGTTCGCCACTGCCAAAGACCATTGCGGGAGGTAGGCGCAGGTCCTTTGGAGTGGAAGAGTGTCCTCTACCATATGGGTATATAGTTTCCTAGATTAGGGTTCCCTTTTTGGGGATTCTCCGTTTAAAAGGGGTCCCTTTTATCTCCCTTTTTGGGTACCCGTTCTCCTTTAAAAAGGGGTCCCGTTTATCCCAAGAAGGGACCCTAATTGAGAGAACTACTCTTCGGGACAGGCCAGGGTGGTCAATTTGAAGTTGGAAAGGCCCGGGTCTCAGCTGCCCCCGAAACCCGAAACCTGAAACCCGAAACCCGAAGCCCGAAACCCGAAACCACCCGAAACCCTAAACCCTAAACCCAAAACCCTAAACCCTAACCCCAACAGCAGGGCTTGCGCTACTCTTGCAACTTGCAACCTTCTTGGGTAGGCCAGTCCTGGCTTAAGGCCTTAAAGGGGTCGTAGGTTGGCAGACTTGAAACTTTCGCAGGCCTGAAACTCGCATGTGCCTACTTCTAGCTACCCATGAAGCCTTCAAGTGAGGCTTTAGGACAGGAGGGGCCCAAGGTTCAGGGTTCAGGGTTGCTATCCCCCCTCGAGTCTGGGTTAAAAAAAGGGTTGACGGTTCAGGGAGGGCGTTTTTCCCAGTCCCCCCCCCCCCCGCCAAAGCAAAAAAAGGGGGTGGTGTTTTTTGGCCTGTGCACCATGGCCCGCCAAAGCAAGAACATGGGCAAGAAGGGGGGGGGGGTGTGGTGTTTTGGGTGATTTTCCCAGAGACTCCAATATCCCTTAATTAAGGAATATACCTTAAATCATATTAGGGATCCCTAATATGATTTAAGGAATACTCCTTAATTAAGGGATATTGGAGTCTCTGGGTTTTTTGGGGGGGATCTGTAAGGTGGTGCTCCGTCTACGGGCTGCATTTGCAGCCCGCGCCCTTCCTCCGAGTGGAGGTGGCCGACTTCCGTGATGCCTGGCACTTGGGATGGCCTCGAACCTTTTGAGCTGCTTTTTTTGGAGTCAAGGTTTAGGGTTTAGGGTTTAGGGTTTAGGGTTTAGTGTTTAGGGTTTAGGGTTTAGGGTTTAGGGTTTAGGGTTTATTCAGTGTGCTGGGGCTGACCTCAGTCCATGCTTCAAACAGGGTTTATAGGGTTGAGGGTGGTCTCCTTGCTTTAGAGTTTTTGACAGGATTCAGGGCTTAAGGGCTTATAGAGTTGAGGGTGGGTCTCCTTGAATGCTCATGATGATTAGTTTCAAGAGGGGTTACAAGCTCACGGGGTCTTACACATCTTCGGAGCCAGGAGTGTGCGGCACGAATGTTCGCTCCAATGAAAGCAAGTTTAGTATGGCGTTTAGGAAGCCGATCCCATACGGGCGGGGTCGTTTTAAATCATGCGGTATGAATCATGCGGTACACGCGACTTTGCATCCCCAGCAACCCCACTTCAATTGCCTAAGATGTTCGCATCGCAACCCGGACAATCATTCGAACAACGAAGGGCCTTTGATCTTTACACAGAGCCCCTAATCAATCAGCGACAACTTGCAAATCCGAGGTGGAGCCAATTGCATTTGCGCTGCAACGTGGTGAGGTGAGGTCTCTGCTTTCGATGAACATGGGGCCCCAAAACCTCCCCTAAACCCAAAACCCCCTAAACCCCAAAGCCTAAACCCTGAAAATTTTAGGGTGCTTGCTTCCAGAAGCCCGCTGCAATGGGGTGGACCCTTAGCTTCTGGCCCGAGTGACCTGAGCTCTTGGAGAGACGGCGCAGGTGCGAGCGCTGGGGTCCGCGCAGGTCATGGGCCCCAGCCTGCTTGCAAGCATGTTCAACATTGGATCCGATGTAGGGGCCTTTAATTTGGGTCCTCTGTTATATAACCCTTACATACTTATGTATTTGGGTCCTCTGTTATATAACTGTTATATACTTATATACACTACACATACGAAGGGCCCGTACTTCGGATCCCCTTAAGTCCCTAAACAAGGGACTCAAGCACTTCAAGGTTCATTGGGTACTTTGAAGATAAGACTTGAGGAGGTGCATGGGTGCCATCACCTGGGGTTTTAGAGTCTTTAGGGTGGCTTCCTACAACTTTTGGGGCGGAGGGGATCTTGCTCATTCGGAGCCCGCAGGTGCTTTGTGCACCAAACGGGGAGCTGGGTTCTGAACGCTTAGAGCACGTCGAGCTCAGGCACACGAAGCTCACCTGCCCTACTTGCTGCATTTCCTCGCCGAGCCTGGGGGCCCAGTGGTGGGGACTTCAGGGGCGACAAAATCATTTTGTGGGGGATGGTCGTGGCCGCAAGTTAAGGAGATAGGTTGCGCAGTTGATGAAGCACAGGGCCCCCGATAGCTCGATGGCATGACGTTGTGGCGCTGCAAGCACAGGTAGGTCGCGCATTTAGGGCTCAAGCTATATCACAACCTCGCGAGTCATGGCCATGCCATTGCGGCTTTCGGTGTTGTTCGCTGTAGTCACAAGCGCTGCAGCAATGCCGAAGTTTCCGTCTTCTTGGGGACCGCCGCCCGAAGTGATGACAGCAGACTACGGGCCTCTGGCAGGGGGCTATGGCCATGGATCAAGCTCGCTTTCGCATTGGATCTACGAGCGCCTGGGTCGATGTTTAGGAAGCCTGATTTGCTTCGTGTTGTTTGGGGTGGGGTTCCTGCATAACATGCTTTCTCAGCTTCGCTGCAGGGATCCTCCTGATTTCCCAAACCCTAAGCCCTAAACCTTACACCCTACACCCTAAACCCTAAACCCTAAACCCCGAACCCTAAACGTGGGTCAAGGAAGATTCAAGAGGACATCTCTGCCGGCCGGGCGCAGTACCCGCCCGACTTCGGGCCCCCGCCTATGGCACAGACGCGGGACTTGCGGCCCCTTCCCTTCGGCTATGGCTTCTGGGCTCTTTTAGGGTCTAGGTCAAAGGAAAAAGGAACTTTTGTGTTAAGTTACCATAATTGTCTCGTTTTTTCCCGAAATAATCCTGATCATGGTAACTTAAATTTGAGTTCCCAACAACGAGAACTCAGGCTTTGGCTCCGGCACCACGGCGAAATGGCTAGCCAAGAGAGCCAGGGAGGTGTACGACGAGAGCACCGAGGAGTTCGAAGAAACCAAGGCTTCCTTGGAGAGAGGTGCACGCCGAGACTTGAGGCCAATTATGGTGCTGTGAGTCCAGGCCGAAGTTACTTCGGGATCCTTTCAGCTTCGAGCAGTTTATGCCTTTACGCTTCAGGTCCGCTGTGCAGAACATGAGCCAAGCGTTCCATAGCTTCTCATTTGAACAACCTCTGGAACCTCTCCAGGCCTTGTACAGGGAGAGCACAAGTGCAGAGCGCTGTCAAGAAAGCACAGGGCGAGTGCTGACAAGGTGCCCTTTATGCCTTCCCACGACTGGGCATTTCCCAGAATAGGAGCACCCCTTTCATGCCCCAAACAGAATAGAATCCCCTTAACAGGGGACACCCCACAAAACGGTATGTACCCCTAGTTTCGGAAACCTCCCCGGAAGTCCTCCGCCACCCAGGTACCACCTTTGTGGTGCTGGCTTTGTGCGTGCCAGTGGCCAGGACGTCACGGCTGCAACATCTCCTGAGGGGTTGGAAGCCTTGGCCTTGTTGTTATATGGTCCTTTTATGGTTTAGGGTTTAGGGTTTAGAGTTTAGGGTTTAGGGTTTAGGGTTTGGGGTTTAGGGTTTAGGGTTGTCCTTCTTTAAAGGGTTCTGAAGTCCGGGCCCTGGGTTTTCACAGGGAAAATGAGGGGTATGTAAAGGGTCCCCCGTTATGGACCATGGAACTACCCTAAAAAATACAGACAATGCAGTCTCCACACATTTGCCCCTGTCCCAGTTCTTATGTGCGTTTACACCCCTGCTCCCCCTTAGATCCTGAGGTGCCAATACTTGCGGGCTCCCCTAAACCCTAAACCCTAAACTCTAAACCCTAAACCCTAAACCCTAAACCCTAAACCCTAAGGACCCAGTCTGAGTTGGGCAGTAGTCGGAGAAGCCTGTTTGTGTTGTCAACCTTAGAGCTCCCCATGGAAGGAGCGGGTAAGCCGCCAGAGCTGCTGTGCTGTTGAGCCCGCCGCACAGGGGGGGGCGGGGGTCGGATTAAGAGTATACCAGGGTGGGCCAGTGGCGTAGCATCAGGGCCACATGGCATGGAACAGTGAAATCGCTGGCCTCCCGCCCCCCCCGGTCCCAGCTCCGAGGTTGGATGTCACGGTGCCGAGGCCTCAGCTTAAGTTCCGAGTTTCGCTTGCGCGGGCACCACTTGCTGGAAGCCTAAGGGATGGGCTGGTCAATGCGACGGAGCGACTTGGCTACTGGCAGAGAACCCCATCCCAGGTATGCGAGGCATGGAGAGCGGATTATGAAGATGTGTTAGAACGCTGTATCCGTGACGCCGTTACCTGTCTTGCCAGGTATCGAGAGCTGCTCAGACGTGCAGGAAGCAGCATGGCTCTCAGCACGCGTCCAAAGGCTCGAATTCCATGGCAACAGCAAGTTTTTAGGAGCGACGCGGTGCTATTGTTGCAGTATCTATGGGTGTGTTTTCTGCACGCTCGGGTAGTTGCTTGCCTAGTGGTTCTAGGGTGCGGAATGAAAGGAAGCAGAACCACAAAGCCGTTTAGGGGCTGTGGCTACGGTGATTTCGCTCGTTACCAAAAACACGGCAGGATCATGACTCCCACGCACTCTGCTGAGAAGAAGCCTCCACTAAAGCCTGATCGTTGCCCCGCTGGGGTGTCCGCGTTAGTCTTCTTCTCCTAAGATGGCGGGCGAAACTGAGTACCAGTAGCTCTGCAGCTGCGCAGTTTGGCCAGGCTAACCCTAAACCCTGTACCCCAAACCCTAAACCCCAAACCCTAAACCCTTTGAATGCCCAGGTGGTGAGGCAAAGGCATTGGCATCACTGCGGTCCCAAATGGGCATGAAGCTCAGGGAGCTTCCGCACCTGGACGCCTGGGGCTTGTGTTTATGTTTTAATCAGGGTCTTTCATAGGACCCTGGTTTTTTCCCCTATTGAATCCCAAGCCCTGAGCCCAAAACTTCAACCCCACCCTAAACCCTAAACCCTGAACCATAAGCCCTAAGCCCGAAACCCTGAACCCTAAACCCTAATCCCAAACCCTAAACCCTAAACCCTAAACCCTAAACCCTAAACCCGGAACCCACCTGAGGTCAGGGGCCTGACCACCCGGTGACCCTGACCAAGCCCGTCGTTGATGAAGGGCGCCCTTCTGCTGGGGCCAGGACGGAGGTTTCGAAGTTTGCGCAAGAAGGTTGAGGGATTTAGGGTTGAGGGCTCGGGTTTCGAGTGCTAGGGTCTGAGAGTCTGAGAGTGTTGCAGAGACTTTCTGGTCAGGACATCATAGCCCGGATGCAAAAGGGGTTTAGAGTTTCAACCAAAAGGGTTTAGGATGATTTGGGGTCATGGGATTTAGTTTTCAATGTCTTGTTCGTGTGTTTTGCACTCGTTTGGGCCACGATTTCTGTTCGCACCGGCCTCGGGCCAGCCAGCAGGTAGTGATCTAGGCCAGCCCCGTTACAAAAGGAAGGGGCATGGCCATATCATGCCATGTCCCAGTGGTGATAGGGTCACTTCGAAAGGTCCCTTTGTACCCCTTGCGGGGGGGGGGAAGGCCCGGGGTGGACGGCTCCACCCTTGACCCTCAAGCCCTAAACGCTACCATAAATGTGCAACGCAGATATCTAAACCATGAACCCTTCCCAAAACACCACCAGGTTTGTTTGAGGGGCTCATGCACAGGGCTCGAGGTGAAATGATCCCAGGCCTTGCGCCAAGAGCCCTAAACCTGCACGCCTAAACCCTAAACCCCAAACCCTAAACCCTAAACCCTGAACCCTGAACCCTGAACCCTAACCCCTAAACCCGAGACCCCAAACCCCAAACCCCAAACCCCAAACCCGACACGTGCTCCGCGCGCAGGACGTCCCTTGAAGTGCGAGGCGCGCTGCGGCGCTGGCTGCAAGGGGGCGAGCCTCCAGCTGCTGAGGCGGGGGTTTCAATTTTTTGGGGTTTCGGGTGTAATGTTTGGGGTTTAGGGTTTAGGTTTTAGGAGGTTTCTTAAGGTTTCCAGGGGCCTGAGTTTGGGGTTAGATAAAGGTTAAAGGCTTTTCGGACCGAATGGTTAGGGGTTCAGGGTTGAGGGACCGAGTTTGGAGATCTGCATCTGTGGGTTGTTCTGCTTGCTTTTTTGGTATTTGCCTTTTCGAGCCATGCCTTCGATAAGCTATGTAGTTCGAATTCCTTTAGGGCATAGCTTTAGGGCATAGGATTCAGTGTTCACGAGGCATGGCATGGACGGTTATGAGTTATGAGCATCAATACTCCAGGACTCTGGAATCTCGTTTTGTGTGAGGACCCTACAAATTGAGATGCCGGGGGTGCGGCACTCATTGAGCTAGCTTGGTCAGGCTACTGCAGCTGCCTCTGCCGCCGCTGCTGAGATGGAAGCAAACTGGAGGCGAGCGCAGGCAGCCGTTCAGGCACGCTTGGGACGTTTTGGGATTTTGGGACATCGGTTTAGGGTTTAGGGTTTAGGGATTGTTCCCGGCCCATTGCGTGGGTGAGGCCTGTCAACGAAGAGGCTGTCGGAAGCAAGTAGGCATCTCAGATAAGGCGTGTATGCAAGACCCGGACCCGGATCTAACGGAACAAGCGTCTGTCGTCGCTTCTTCGTAGGGAATATGTCTCCCCCATGATTAAGTCTATTTAGGGAGAATCAAGCCTAGTTACGGTAATTTAAGGGGGGAACCTAGGGGGAGGGGGGGTAGTATAGGGGGGGGGGGGGTACCCCTAAACCCTAAACCCTAAACCCTAAACCCTAAACCCTAAACCCTAAACCCTAAACCCTAAACCCTAAACCCTAAACCCTAAACCCTAAACCCTGAACCCCATGACGTGCGTGAAGATAGTAGCTGGACCGACTCCCAAGCTGAATGGTCCGAACCGCAGGACATCGAGGATCTCGCCGGCCCTGCATCGAGTTGCCGGGGGCGTGTTTGCGTGAGTGGGTTTAGGGTTTAGGGTTTAGGGCATGCATGTTATGTGCAGCAGTCCTAGCCGTAAACAGGGTTTAGGGTTTAGGGTTCAGGGTTGAGGGTTTAGGGTTTAGGGGCTTAGGGTTTAGGGAGTTTGAAGGTTTTGTTGTGGGTTGCGGGCTTGAGGGTTACATTCTAAGGACGAAGTAGGACGTCCAGATTCGGCGGTCGAGAGTTGGAGCTCTACCGTGGCGCCACTGTGGGGGTTCATGACTGGTCCTTTGAGAAAGCCCTAAACCCTAAACCCTAAACACTAAACCCTAAACCCTAAACCCTAAACCCTAAACCCTAAACACCCTACACCCTTCACCCTACACCCTAAACCCTAAACTGCATTTCTTATGCTGAGCCAGCCTCAACCCTGAGTCCAGAGGCCGGCCAGTGCGAAGGGAGGCATCGCCTGCGAGGCATCAGTGGGCCGGGATTCAGCAGGGGATGCCCAAGGATCCAGAGCCAGTGTTCAGGGGTTTACAGTAGTTCACGGAAACCTCGCAACTCCCTCCCCGCAAATCCTGAACACTGTGAGAATAGCCCCAAGCTCTCGGTCCCCAGACCCAACCACCCCGTGAAAAACCCACACCGGCACCCTGTCCCCTCTGCCCCCTCCCCCACCCCCACACTCTGCCCTGGCAAACGTCGCACCAGCGCCAGGTACTCCAACCCTGCGGACGACCCCAGAAGTTACCGAGAGCTGGGCACCCCCAGGTTCTACTACATCGGGTGGGCCGGTTCCCTGTTCAGAGTCTTCTCAGAGCCTCTACAGTCCCAATGTGGTTTGCAAAGGCTTGCCTTAAGCAGTAGCCCACCTAGTAACTGTTCTCCATTTTAGGCTTGGGGTGCGGGGCATTTGGAGGGTTTAGGGTTTAGGGTTAGGACATTCTGCAAGCCTGCTGCAAAGGGGTTTAGGGTATGAGGCAACCTCGCACCTAAACCCTAGGCTAGGGTGACCTGTAGGTTACTTTTCGGGCTCGGCAAGGGGGTAGGTTTCCTTATTCTTAGGTAAGCGGCAAAACCCTAAACCCTAAACCCTAAACCCTAAACCCTAAACCCTAAACCCTAAACCCTAAACCCTAAACCCTAAACCCTAAACCCTAAACCCTAAACCCTAAACCCTAAACCCTAAACCCTAAACCCTAAACCCTAAACCCTAAACCCTAAACCCTAAACCCTAAACCCTAAACCCTAAACCCTAAACCCTAAACCCTAAACCCTAAACCCTAAACCCTAAACCCTAAACCCCAAACCAAGCTCTAGTGGAAGGGCACCCGAAAACTGGTGGGGTGGCTCCCGCAGTCTTGGCTCAGACTCTGGGCAGACTGGGGCGGGGGATCTCTGCGACTCGGCAGAATTCTTTAGGGTTTAGGGTTTAGGGTTTAGGGTTTAGGGTTTAGGGTTTAGGGTTTAGGGTTCGGGAATGTGCCCTATATCCCCCGAAATATACCCTTTAAGGGATTCTATAGGGTACTTCATTCCCTCATTCCCTACTAGCCAACAGTAAGAGTTTCGGAACCCCCTTCCCCGCGAATGCGCCATACGTCCCTGTATGGCACTGGGTTTAGGGTTTAGGGTTAGGGTTTAGGGTTTAGGGTTTAGGGTTTAGGGTTTAGGGTTTAGGGTTTAGGGTTTAGGGTTTAGGGTTTAGGGTTTAGGGTTTAGGGTTTAGGGTTTAGGGTTTAGGGTTTAGGGTTTAGGGTAGGGTTTAAAGGGAACATAAAACATGAAGGTGTTGGGTCGGTTCAATATTGCAGTAGTGGAGCAGAAAAGCCTAGTGGGAAGACGCACGTACAGATTATAGTTGTTCTTAGAAACTATGTTTAGTTTTTGTTTATTTCAAACCCAAAAGGATGTACAGAAAACGGTCTCATTACTTTGATCGTGGTTCTCTGGGCAGTGGTCGCATGTCTAGAAGAGACAAAGGGTCCTCAATGGTCCTTGTTCAATCTGATGTCTGCAGTGAGCCGCCGGTGTTATGCCCTTGGCTGCCTTGCCCGAGGCAGTTTGCAGTTGGGCCATGCAAACTGCAACGTCAGCACCGCTATCGGACGCGGATGCCAATGACAACCTCTGCCATGCGCTCTTATCAGACCTCCTGAAGGCCTGGCAACTTAAGGGTTGATGATGAATATATACATACATATGTATATATGCATAGATAAATAAATACATATGTAGAACAAGACGATAATACAATGATTTGAGCATATCATAACATAATGATATCATGATACAATCGTACAAAAATGATACTCAGATAAAGTGTTTTAGTCTCGGAGGTTCCAAAGCTGCAAAGAAATTGCGGGCGGCGCAGAGCACACCCATCCTGTAGAACTGACCGGCTAAGTGGGGAGCCGACGCTGACAGCAACATTGTAGAATGGGGGCTTAGGGTTTAGGTGTTAGGGTTTATATGGGGTTTCGGGTTTAGGGTTTAGCCAGAAACTCTGGTGCACCACTTGCTGATTGCTGAGCTATGTGGAACGTCTCAGTTCCGTTTGCGACTGCGCCGTGGCATGCCCTCTTGCCTGAGGACGAGGATGATGCAGGCGAGCAAACCGACGTGCCCGAGGAGCGCAGCGGTGAGATTACCATCAACGACTCGGAAGAGGACCGGCCACCCATAACTCTTGCCCCAAGGTTATACTTGGCAGCGGCTCACCGGATCGCATGGATAGTTGGCTTATCCGGCTCATGTGTTGCGCTGGCCTGGGGTTTAAGAATCTCAGGGCCTGGCTCTTCACCTTGACTGATCCTCTGGGGTGTTGGCAGCCTTGCCGGAGATCCCGCAAGACGCAACCACTCCTGGACCCCAGGCAAAGAATTCTGGCATTGGTGAAGGGGCCATGCCATAGCCTTGCAGCACAGAACCTTTATCGTGTTTGTTCTTCGTTGTGGACGTGGCCCTGCAAAGACATGGTCAGCTCTAAGTTTTTCATGGGCCCTTAATGCGGTCCCCCACTTTCTCTAAAGAGTTCTGAAATGTGGGCCCCTGGGTTGTATAGGGTACAGAAAGGGCATCCAAGGGGCCCCCTTTCTAAGGGCCCATACCACGGGACCATGTAACTAAGATGAGATCAGCTAAGCGGGAGGCAATCACAAACTCTCAGCCTTGGCCCTAAGAACCTGAAAACCCTAAACTTGACTGGTCTGCTTGGTGGGTGGTAAAAAGAACCCCCCCTAAACCTTAAACCCCGAACCCAAAGCCCTAAACCCTGGACACTGAACCATCGAACCGTGCAGGAGCGAAAGTCTCCCGCCAAGCGCGACGGAAAGCCGATGGCGTGCGGCGCGCAGCGGGCGCCACCAGGCCGGCTGCCTTCTTGAAGGGCTTAGGGTTTACGGTGTAGGGTGTAGGGTTTAGGGTTTAGGGGTAGAAGTAGGCTGAAAAGTACCTTGGTTCAGGTCTAGTATAAATACGGAGAATGTATAAGTACCTTGGTGTGTAAGGTTCTGAATCTGGAATCTAGGACCCTACCACACCCCACCCCCCCGGATCTTTCATGTACATGAATGATAAGATTCTGGGCCCACCGACTGGGTTCCGGATCTTAGGATCCCCGAAATTCGGTGCGGGAGTTCGGTTCCTTTGGTGCGCCGAGGCCTGGAGGGTCTGTTTTTTTTTTTTTTTTTTTTTTGGTTTTTTTCTCTTCGTTCTTTCAAAAAACTTTTCTCCGGGTTTAGGGTTTAGGGTGACGATGGTTTAGGGTTCAGGGTGTAGGGGGCTCAGGCATTAACCTTTGAGGGGTTTGGTTTTAAGGGGTACAGGGCTTTAAGGGTGTATGGGGGTTTTACAAGGCTTTGGTTGGGATTTTCCCGCTCGTACTAGTGCAACAGTCCTTAATCGGGATAGCATCCCATATTCTAATCCCTATGAAGGGCTGTTAGTATACGGGGAACATCCCAAGCTGGATGTCATGAACCTGAGTCCCTGGATGGAGGGCTTGATGCGTGCAAAGTAGGTTGGGTACCTTTGAAGGGACTTGGATCCCTGAAAACGAGGCTTGCTGCTGAGCACCCATTCGCCGGCTTCTCGCCAGCAAAAGCTACTTCAGTTGGGGTGTCACATGCTTGGAAGCCAGTGGTGCCCTTTACTTTTTTTTTTGGGGTTCTGGGTTCCCTTATACAGTAACCAACCCCAAAATGGGGTACCCTTATTATAACATGGTTACTGGGCTACCAAACATGTTAGAGGTCCATCGCAAGCAAGGGGTGAAATCGAGGCCCCGTAAAGGGATTTCAACGTAAACAGCTCCCCCCCTTGCACCCCCCCCCCCCTCCAACCCAGGGCTTGGCTGCATGGCAAAAGCGTCTTCCCTACGACCATATCCCTAACCTAAACCCTGTACCCTGAAGCCCTAAATCCTAAACCCTGTTCAAAAGCTTAGCACACAGCAAGACCTGCATGATTTGCATGTCCTTGTCCTGCAGACATGTTCAGTTCATGATAATCCGATCCCTTCTTGCAGCATCCGGTTGGCAATCGCACTCTCTGTCGAAGAAGCCTTGACATGGTCCTGCTGCGGTTTAGGGTTCAAAAGGGTTTGGTGTTTAAGGGTTTGGGGTTAAAATTCGGTTTGAGATGTTGTTCGGACAGAATGGGCAGAGCCGTTTTTTTTCTCGAATCTTTCCGGGCCATGCCAAGTCGTCACAAGAAGAAGAGCTGACATAGCAACAGCTCAGTGACCTGATGATGATGATGATGATGATGCTGATGATGATGATGATGATGATGATGATGCGAACTTGTGAAGGACGACAAGTGTTGCAGGACAGTGGGAGATGCAAGTGTGACGACTGAGGGCACTGTGGACATTTCTCGCGGGGGGGGGGATACCGTAGTTAGCAAAAGTCCGTCCCAGGGCCAAGTGTAGCAAACCTCCACCGACCGCTTCCATTTACAACCTGGAGTCCCGAAAATCTAGAAGAGCACGCCAGCCGAGGATGTCAACTCATTGAGCAGTCCGAGCTTTCATTCCATGAGCACCTACCTTCCCGGCCATGCCCCCACGAGCCGTGACGACTCCCCGGACGAGGAGGACGGCCTGGGAGGGCTGTTAGAGGAGCAGTTTGATGCCCTCTACCCAGTGACTGCGCCCCCCAGCACTGGACCCGAGTATGATCAGTGGCTGGCGCAGCTGCCTTCCATAGGCTCAGCAAACCACTTCAACGGCAGCTGCGATCGTTGCTGCTTCCACCCCAAGGGCCGGTGCTTGAACGGCTACAGCTGTCAGCACTGCCACTTTGACCATGAGAAGCGCAAGCGCAAGGGCAAGAAGCGCTCAGAGAGGGTGCCGGAGCTGGGGTCCGAGATGGGCTCCATGCCCCCGACCCCACACGGCCCTCACGAGGCCTTCAACCCCGTTCCCGTTGTGCCCGCGCCTTGCGTGTCGCCGGCCTTCCACGAGGGCCTGGAGATTCCCCCACCCGTGCCCGCTGTTCCCGACTACCCCTTCTACCCCGAGGAGATGCCATTCCATCCAGGCCATCCAGCCCATCCGGGCAGCCTCTATCCTGACCCCACAGGCATGCTGGAGGCACGCGACGACTATGTCCGAAGGCTTGAGGAAGAGAACCACTACCTTCGCTCCATGCTCTTGCAGCACCTGGGGCCCGGTGCCTCTTCCGAACGTGTGCACACTTTTACGGCTTTTGGTATAGCACATCACCACGGTTTTAAGATCGAAAACTAAATGACTTAAGAGCCCCTTGCTGGCCAGAGAAGCGCGCAGGTGCCTCCCTCCCTCCTTCAGCGGTCGCCACCCGTGCGCCAGCGGCGGCTGCGGCGCCCGCTCCGGTCCCCGTGGAGAGCCCGCCAGGGCTCGCGCACGTGCCGGACCCTCAAAGTGCAACCTCCCTGCCGCTTGCCTGCAGTATGTCAGAAGGAGTAGGATCTACTGCAATTGTGTGGAGGGACCTGTCCCACGTAGTAGGATCCACCTGTGTTTTTTCGGAGGGGCCTGTCCCACACGAGAAGCGCAGTGCTTGAGGCATGGTCCTCCAACTTTCTCCTAGACCTGCAAAGGTCGCACTAAGCCCGTAAGCAGCCTCCAAACAGTAGCAGAATCGCCCCATCTGAAAGCCCAGCAGCCTGTGCACCTGAAGCCCGTTTCGAGTACTTGAAGGTTCATGGGTAGTTCTAAGTGGGTTAGAAGTAGCCCACATTATAACCTTACTTGAGGTACTTAGAACCTTACTTAGTACCCATGAACCTTCAAGTACGCTTGAAGGCCCATCTAAAAACTGACAACGACTGAACTGAACCCGACCTGAAACCCCCCCCCACGCTGCTTGATTATTTTCCGGAGCCCTAAGCCCTGTCAACTTGAAATCTCTCCCTAAACCCTAAACCCTAAACCCTAAACCCTAAACCCTAAACCCTAAACCCTAAACCCTAAAAGGATGCCCAGCCTGGGGCTCATGTACCCCCAAACTCTTGAAACAGGCTTTTCCACCCCACACATCCTACGAAAAGCTCCGCTTGCCTAAACCCTAAACCCTAAACCCTAAACCCTAAACCCTAAACCCTAAACCCTAAACCCTAAACCCTAAACCCTAAACCCTAAACCCTAAACCCTAAACCCTAAACCCTAAACCCTAAACCCTAAATCACGAAAAAGCGCACACACACACACACACGGGATGCGGATCAACAAAAAATAGTATTTAGGATCAAAAAATAATTTATTCAGGATCAAGAAATAATTTATTCTGTTCGTCCGACGGAGAGGAGGGAAGGGGAGGGAGGGAGGGTGAGAAGGAGGGAGGGAAGGAAGGAAGGAAGGACGGAAGGAAGGAAGGAGGGAAGGAAGGAGGGAAGCAAGGAAGCAAGGAATCAAGGAAGCAAGAAAGCAAGGAAACAAGCAAGCAAGGAGGCAAGGAAGCAAGGAGGCAAGGAAGCAAGGAAGCACGGAGGCAAGGAAGCAAGGAAGCAAGGAAGCACGGAGGCAAGGAGGCAAGGAAGCAAAGAAAGAAGGAAGGAAGCAAGGAAAAGTCAAGAAAGAAAGTCGTGCCAGCTTGCTTCGAAGCATACGCATCTTTTCGAAACCCATTATGCGAGCATTGTGTTTGCAAAGCATTGTGTTTGCGCACTGGGGGGGGGGGGCCCCCCAACGCCCGGCTCTTTCTTTAATCGTTCTGGCTTGCTTCAGAGTATACGCATTTTTTTTTGAAACTTCTAATGCCAAGATGCCAGCATTGATTTGCAGCCTCTGGAAGCTCAGAAATGCTGCTATTTGCAGTATTTCCAGCCTCTGAATTCGCAGAAATGCTGGTATTTACAGCATCTGCAGCCTCTGGAAACTCAGAAATGCTGCGGGGTACAGTATTTCCAGCCTCTGAAAGCACAGAACTGCTGCTATATACAGTATCTGCAGCCTCTCTAGAAACTCAGAAATGCTGCTATTTTCAGTAGTTCCCGCATAGCTGCTGTGTTTTTTCTGTATTTAGAGCTTGCGAACGGCCAGAAACGATGCACTTCTGAGCGTTTACAGCCTCCGCTCCGCTTGCAACAGGCCTTCGAAGCCTTCAGTAAATTATTTTTTGATACCAAAGAAGTTTCTTTTTTGATCCGCCTTTCAATAAATTATTTTTGATCCCAAACAATTTTTTTCATCCCCTACCCCACACACACACACACACCTACACAAGAACACGTGAGAGTCGCAAACCGAAAGCTCGAACCTTGAATCCCCCCCTGAGTATAGGTTTATGGGTAGTGATAAGTAGGTCGATAAGCAAGGTGGCCGATAATACAACCTTTAACGAAGGTCCTTATCACCCTGCTTCCAACTACCCATGAACCTTCCTAAACAGAAACCCTAAACCCTAAACCCTAAACCCTAAACCCTAAACCCTAAACCCTAAACCCTAAACCCTAAACCCTAAACCCTAAACCCTAAACCCTAAACCCTAAACCCTAAACCCTAAACTCTACTTCGAACTACCTATACAACCTTTAAGTAGTCAAGGTCCGCAGGGGCCGCACCCTTCTGCCCGGGCGGCATGGTGTCCTGGGCTCAGGGGCCAAGCTCGCTGCCAGGTGCCGGGGGTTTGGGGTTTGGGGTTTAGGGTTTCGGGTTTAGGGTTTAGGGTTTGGGGGGTTCTTCATGGTTTTGCTAAGTTATGGCCACAACGAAGACCGCCAACAAGCTGACCATGTGGATGCACTGGGCTATCGCCCCAAGCCCCGAGTCGCGCAGGCGGCTTGGCAGCGAGCGCGCTTCACCACGGGGGCATGGTGCCGAACGTTAGATGGCCCGGACCTGCATGAGGCCGGATTGCTGAGGGATTCGTTTGCGGCTTAGGGCTTACCAGAAGGTTCATGGGTACATCTAAGTAGGCTTATAAGTCCCTTATCTGAGGTTATAAGATAGGTTACCTTACTTAGAACCCGATTTATAGCTACCCATGAGCCTTCAATTAGGTTCAGGGTGTGGGTGTTGAAAAGGTATACCTGGTTCTTGTAGAGGGCTTCTATGTGGGCTCCCCCCCTTCCCTCTTCAAAAGAAAATGGTGAGAGTCCCGCGAAAAAACAAATCGCATCTAACTGGAGTCCCCTGACAGGAAGTAAGTGAGGTCCTGTAGTATGGAAGCCAGATGTGCAACCCTAATGAAACCCCCAAAAGCCTACAACAAAAACCCTTAAAGCCCCTTTCTAGCCTTAGAGCCCCCTCAAGCCCCCCTTGAAGCCCCTAAAGCCGTGTGCAATGTGAGCCCTCAGTCTAAAGTTAGAACCATGGGCCCGTAGTATGGTCCCCCTACCCCTTGTTTAATGGGGTGTAGAGGGATCCGAAAACCCTAAACCCTAAACCCCTCTCCCCCTTGAGGGTGTATATGAAGCGGGGTATATATTACTGTTTTTGGTGAGTGTATATAAGGTTCCTTTTTTATTTTGGTGAATGTATATACCTGGTGTCCTTTTGGGGGTACAAGAAATATATACCGCACTTCATAGGGTTCTGTAACAGGGGACCATATGAAGGGCCCATACCTCGGAGCCCCTACTCAGGCACAAGGCCGCCAGGAGGCGCTCGATCAAAAGCGGGGGACCTGGGTAGGGCTGGGGGGGGGGGGGGGGGGTTGTTTAGGGTTTATAGGGTTTAGGGTTTAGGGTTTAGAGTTCAGGGTTTAGGGTTTAGGGTTTAGGGTAAAACGGGTTTTTGGGTTTAGGGTTTAGGGGCTTAAGGGCTTTTAGAAGTTTTTAGCAACCCCGTTCGGCTTAGGGTTTGTGGGTTTTGGGTTCAGGGGTACAGGGAGAGAGAAGGTTTCCAGTTTTTGCGGGCTCAACACTTACGCAGAGACTCGGACGTCCATGAGTTGTGGAAGATTTCCTTAAATCATTGGTAGGAAATGCGGGACCCTTAAAAAGGGAACCCTTCTGAACGCTCTTCTGGCTCTCTTAAACAGGGACCTTATTCACAGGCTCTAAATCCCCAAGGATCCCCCTAATTCTATCCCCGACTTAAGTCATATATAGTAGACTCCCTACTTGAAGGGTCACGGGTAGTTTTCAGTGGAGCTTTGAGGAATTGAACTAAGGTTACAAGTTTTTATAACCCTACTTTTGGCTACCTGTGAAACCTTCCTAAAATAAACCTTAACCCCGATCCCTAAACCTAGAGCGCCGAAATCCCACACCCCGAGCCCTAAGACGCAGTTTAAGGAAGATTCCCGAATCGAAGGATGTTGCGGTGTCTGGGTAGTTCTTGTTGGCCTCTGGGGTTCTGCAGCCTCCGAGCGCACGCTGCGAGGTTTGGGGCCATCAAGCAGCTTGGGTTCAAGTAGGGTTTAGGGTTTAGGGTTCAGTGTCTCAGGTCTCGACGATGCCTCTGCATTGGCCATGTGACGCAGGGCTTCGTGTCGGGAGTCTCTGGTTAGACCAGTTGGCGCTAGGCCCTTGAGGACAAGCATCCTCGAGGTCACCACACTTCCAACACCCCCAGACTTCAGTTTTCCCCACATCCGACATAAACCCTAAACCCTAAACCCTAAACCCTAAACCCTAAACCCCGAGCACCACGTCTTCCGCCCCGGGGCCTGGCAGCCATGACGCCCTGATGCGCGGGCATGTGTCGGGAAATTCTGGCAGGTGCGCCGGGACCTGAGACCCGCCAGCCGCAGCAAAGCCTTTTATCAGAGTTTGTTTCTGTTTTTCTAAGCGACCTTTTGATTTTCATGCGTATGTCTTTAAATATCAGTACATTCATGTATAGGAATGGAGGCCGACTTTCAACGAACAGCGGGGGCTTCGGGTTTGGTTGGGTTCACGGCCCTGCCCTGTATGCAAGTAGTGCTTAAGTAAAACCTTTAGTGAAAGCCCACTTGATTTAGTGACGCTATCAGGTATGTCTACGGGGCGCGGGGAGGGGGGGTACGCGAGCGCGGGCACACAGAAATCTAAATCCCTTAGCCCAGGTTGCCCAGCCCCCAAACCCTACTTGGAGGTACTGTACTTAGAACTATACTTATAACCATATTGGGGCACTTAAGGGGCTTATAAGTGGGTTATAAGTTCAGTTAGGATACCCTAAACCCTAAACCCTAAACCCTAAACCCTAAACCCTAAACCCTTAACCCTAAACCCTAAACCCTAAACCCTAAACCCTAAACCCTAAACCCTAAACCCTAAACCCTAAACCCTAAACCCTACAGGAACCCTAAAAACCCTAGAGGTGGCAAAAAGGCCGGCGCG